ACATGGGCACAGGTGAGACAGAGCAGTTTGTTACAACAGAACATCCCTATGAGCGGGATTAGGACTGGTCTATTATTGGTGTTGGGGGATCTGAGGGGAGGGATTTTGCTTGGTGCAATTTTGTTTTTGATATTAGTCTCTCTTCTATACACAAATGTTGGGGTGTGTGGCATAACCGATTTTAGGTGTGGGTCTTGGTGTAGGATAGGCCAGTGTTTCTTTATGACAGATTCCATTTGATAGTGTTTGGAGTGGAACTGTGTGTGAAGAAGTGGATGTGGTTACTTTCAGATAGTTGTGATTTGGGGGGGGGGATTGTGTCAGATAAGTAAGTAAGGTAGGCTTGGTCCACTAGGTCAGGGGGATATCCTTTGTCAGCAAATTTTTGTTTAAGTTCAATGCTTTGGGCTTTGTAGCCTTCAGTAAGGTACAATTGTGTCGGAGCCTGCAGAATTGTCCTTTTGGTATGTTTTTGAGCCACCTGGGATGGTGGCAGCTGGTGTAGTGAAGAAAGGAGTTGCCAGCAGTTGGTTTAGTGTAGTTTTTGGCTATCATTTTGGAATCTGAATGGCTCAATTCCAAGTCAAGAAAACTGAGTGAGGTGGGGTCCGTGACATGGGTGAAGGAAAGACTGAATGGGTTGGTATTGCAGTGATGGATGAAGGAGGGAGAGATGTGGTGGGGCCGTCCCAAATGATGATGATATAGTCTATGTACCGGTCATAGAACACTAAGTGGGCAGCAAAAGGATTGTTATTCCAGATGAAACGGTCTTCCCACAGACCCATTGTTAGTTTGGCATAGCTGGGTGTGAAGTTAGCGCCCATAGCTGTGCCTGTTTTTGTAAGTAAAAATTCTCATTGAATTGGAAATAATTATGTTGTAGGCAGAATGTAGTGGCAGTGAGGATGAAGTTACATTGACTGGGATGAAGCGATGGGTCTGAGGATAAGGAGTGTAGGACAACCTGCAATCTTACTTCATGGGGGATGGAGGTGTATAGAGAGCTCGCGTCAAGTGAGACCCAGATGTAAGATTGTTCCCAGGAGTACGCTTTGAGGACTTCCAGTAGATGTACACCATCTCGGAAGTAGGAGGGGAGTGACTGGGCCAGAGGTTGGAGGAAGCTATCGATGTAAAGCGAATAGCTGGTGGTAATGCTCTCCATGGCTGTGATTATAGGGCGACCGGGCGAGTGGTTGAGATCTTTCTGGATTTTAGGGAGTTGGTAAAAGTAGGGTGTTTTATATATGTGGGTGGCAGTTTTAATGATGTTATTAGATTCTAGAATGAATTTGGGGAGAGGGTCCAAGGTTAGTTTTTGGTAGGTGTTAATGTCAGAGAGAAGGCGATTGGCTTCATTCAAATAATCGATTTTGTCTTGAATAACTATCCCTCCACCCTTGTCTGCCGTTTTGATAATAATGTTTGGGTTGTTGCTAAGGGTTTTGAGGACTAGAGATTCAGAGTGGTCAAGATTGGATTTGTGTTTAGTATTTTTGGAGCAAAGAGTTTTAAGGTTGGAGTGTCCCATTTGAAAAAAGGTCTCTATGTAAGGACCTTTGTTATGGGTGGGATTGAATGTGGATGGAGGTTTGAGGTTAGTGTGTCTAATGCAGGGGGGAACCTGTAAGATGTTGAGACAGAAGATAAGTGTCATCGGGGTCTCCATCGTCCCAAAGATCCATCATTAGGTCAAGGGACAGGGGATCAGTGGAGTGGTCTAGGTCCTCGACTGTCAAAAGTAAATGGATTGGGTGTGGTAGTAGGGGAAAAATTCAGGCCTCTTTTTAGTAATGATAATTAGTTTTATGTCAGTGCAATGGATGAAAGATTATAAACTTTCATATTTTCCTGATTTTGCTGGTTTTTTTTGGGGTTTGTGTCGACCCCCTCTCCTGCCTCTTCGTCGTGTTTTCTTTTGATTAGGCTAGAGTGGGGGGGGCATGGTCTAAAAAAGGGACCTTGTTGCTAATATTCAACTCGGGGGGATTATTGGTTGTGACACTGTTAGTGGGGTGTGGTGGTGATGTGACTGGTCACAGTCTGGTTGGTGGGGTGGGGGGTGCATGGGGTTGTGGGATGGGTAGTAGTTTGAATGGGGGTTAGGGAGAGTATTGGATTGGGTTTGTGATAGTGGGTGGGGAGGGGGTGGTGATGGGGTGCATGAGGTTTTTTATGGCAATTGTGGGGGATGTTTTGCCAAGCAAATGAGTGATGTTGAGTGGGTGCTGTGGTGGATAAGCTAGGCCTGGGGTGTTTAGTTTTTGGGCGGTCAGGCCTGGTCTGCCATCTATTTGGGGGGGGGGGGGGGGGGGGGGGTCCTTTTATGCCATGGGTCGGGGGGTAGGTCGTTATGGGTTTGGGTGTTCTTGAGGAGTGGTGGTATATATTTGGGAGGTAAAGATATTATTATTATTATTATTATACAGTATTTATATAGCGCCAAAGGATATGCTCAGCGCTGTACAGTAGCAAGGTATGTGTAGTAAACTGGGAATGGAGGGGGGGGAGAGGGGACAGTGGTTTTAGTTCTTTTCCAATTGAAGACCCGATTGAGGTTGTAGTTGTCAAAGTCTCTCCTGAGTTTCCCTAGTTTGGTACCTAGTAGCGAGTCCTCTTTATGTTTGGTGTTATGTTTTAATGTTCTGAGCCAGGTTAAGGGGGGAGCGTGGGTGTGAGGGAATAGAGTTGGTTAATACGTTCTTAGGTTGTGTTTTTTAAATGTTTGGATCCTTTTGTCTCTGTAGGAGATCAGGAGTTTGATCCATTTATGGGTTCAGAATTCTGAAATTTGAGCCCATTCAGAGCAAAGATCGATATCATTGAATAAGCAGGTGTTGAGCATGTGTAGGCCCTGGGGGGAGATCATGGCTAGGGAGTAATGTTGGAGGAAGAAACTATCCCACCATTGTTGGTTGGTGCTGTGGATGGAATCTTCTATTTTAAGAGGGAGCATTGTTTGACCAAGGGTGTGGGTAACATGAAAGATTGTTGGAAGTAGGAGGCGGGGAGCTAAGGAGCGCCAGCCATCACGGGAGCCTTGGCCCCTGGTACCTCAGCCATACGCTCCAGATATCCAGCCCGGATGACGTCCTTCTATTCATTACTTAATGCCTGATATACACCCACATCCTGTGAGTTTTTATACTTGTGTGCAATAAACTGTTACCTTCCTACTACACTTAGTCTGGCGCATCTCTCTCTCCTCTAAATGGCAATTTTTAGATCTGCATGTAGAAAAACTAATGTATTTTGGTTGCATTATTATATTATGTGTGAAAACATTTATGACAGCTGTAGTGTGTGAAGAACCCCTTGGAGTATTTTGCCTCATAAGCACCCAAAAAGTGTATAAATGTTTCCAGTGTCACTACTACTTATAAAATGTAATTTATATAAAGAGTTTCTTAAAAATAACTGAAATAATGTATTTGTTATTAAAAAGTAACATATTTTCTCAAATGCATGCAATATTTTGTTAAAACTGTTTAATTAAGTTCAGCTTTTTTTAATAATACCATAAAATGTGTTCCGTTAAAGTGTGAAAATCTTTTTTCATACAAATGCTTAGAATATCTAAGACATCAAACATTAATAAACTGTTATTATGTGTAAATATCTCCTCAACCCTTAGATGTTACTCTGGAAGAGTGGACTAGGTTAAGTGATTATGTTTATACAGTACATGCCAATCAATACAAGTATTTACATAAACACCTACCTAGATCTTAGGATTCTTGGTAAAAAAAAAAAAGTGGTTCAATCATCAATATACATTTATTGGGAAGGTTGCATGATATTTACTAAGAACACACAAGACAATATTAACAAGACATTGGACAGTAAAAACGTTGTGGGTTACATGATTTTTATTAATAACACACAAAACATTATTTACAAGACAAGTATGGTGTTAGATTGTCTCTCAGGCTCACATTTACTGTATATTAATAGCTTTTATGTCCCAGAAGAAAAGAAAGCATCTTAGTAATATTACCTTATATCTTTCCTTTCTGTAGAGTGGCTACTAGGGATAAGTTGAACAACTCCTGTTTCAGTTCAATGCAGGTGTGACAAACATTACCAAAGTTCGTATCCAAATCCAAACCCTTTAAAGTCAACAGAACCAGAATCTTAAAAATCAGTAAAGACATTTTCTGGGCTAAGAGACAATATAGCAATTGTCAAACAAAGGGCATGGAAGCTGCAGTGGCCTGGGGAACATGTACAGTGCTCAGCATAAATGAGTACACCACAACAGATTTGTCAGAAAACCTTAACTTTCCTGTGGGACACTATACTACAAAAATAATCCCAAAAGTGCGGGCCATTGATTGCAGACAAGATTTGTAAATTTGCACACACAAATAAGCGTTTTTTTCCTAACAAATTAATTCAAGGCCAAGTTGAAAAAATGAAGGTTTTAGGAACAAAGCTACATTTTAAACAACAAAAATCCTAATAAAAAAAGAATTCAACTACAGGTGAGTCTAATTATTTATTAAACAGGTGTCCAGCAGAAAGTTGAACGTAAAGGGTTGTTACTTAACAAGAAAGCTTTTTCTCATTTCATGCTGTCAGCAATGGCACCACATGGAAGAGAAATGTCACAAAGCCTGAGAAAGAAAATAATTTCCTCACACAGAAAGGTGAAGGTTACAAGAAGATCAGCAAAGCTTTACTTATCAGTCAGAATACTGTAGCAAAAGTGATACAAAAATGTAACAAAGATGGAAATGCAACCATCTCACAGAGACATCCAGGCCATCCACGGAAGTTAACATGACAGGAGTGTCTTCTGATGAGAAGTGTTGAAGAAAATCACCATTCAAGTTCACTGCAGTTAGCTAAAGGAGTAGAAAGCCAAATTGGGGTGATTGTTTCCTGTGACACAATATGGCGTACACTGCAGAAGAATGGCATGCATGAATGTCGTCTATTAAAGGAAGCCTTTCTTAAAGCCTATGCTCAAAAAAGTCCACCTGGTATTTGCCGGGGCCCATGCTGAAAAAGAAGAAGACTTCTGGGACTCTGTACTCTGGAGTGATGAGACCAAGATAAATGTTTTTGGAACTGATGGCTTCAAATCTATGGTGTCACAAAGGAGAGGAGTACAAAAAAAAATGCATGGTGCCTACAGTGAACATAATGTCCTTCTGTGGGGCTGCATGAGTGCTGCTTGTGTTGGGGAGATGCATTTCATTGAAGGTATTATGAATTCACAGATGTACTGGTCTATATTGAAAGAGAAGATGCTACCATCACTCCATGCCCTTGGTTGTTGTGCACTTTTTCAACATGACAGTTATCCAAAACACACATCTAAGGCCACTGTTGCATTTCTGAAGAAGAAAAGGGTGAAAGTGATTCAGAGTCCAAGTATGTCTCCTGGTGTGAACCCATTTGAACACCTATGGTGAATTTCTGAAGAGACAAGTTAAGCATCACTCTCCATTTAGCATCCGGGCTCTAAAAGAGGTCATTCTTGAATAATTGAAAAAGATCGATGTTGCAATGTGTCGCCAACTTGTTCATTCCATGCCTAGAAGACTTGGTGCTGTCCTTACAAATCATAGAGGTCATACAAAATACTAGATATAGCAGTTTTTGTTGTGGGGTGTATTCATTTTTTCATCAACTAATTTGAGTAAAACTGAAGATTTTGTAATCTAAGTTATATTATTAACCTTACTTTCATGTAATGAGCCAAACAAATGTTCTATATAAAACTCAGTTTTGTCCAAATTTTGGAAATTGTTTGTAAAATCGTATCTTTCGATTTCCAGTTGCGGTGCTGTATGGAGCGGAGGTGAGCCGTCCTGCCACCCTCCTCCACTGCTGCACTCTAAAGCCTGCTGCAATTCTGCCCCCCCCCTCTGCCCGCTGCTCAGAGGAACACATGAACCGCTTTGTGGAGTAGCCTCAAGCTCCTTTTCTGTCCCAAGCCTGTCACAGGGGGACACAGCGGCCACTGCAGCCAAGATGGCCGCTGCTGCAATCATTCCCACTGACACGGGATCAACAGAGCCCACAGAACCCACAGGCTCCTACTCCTCAGCCTCCGGACCTTGCCTTACAAGCAAGCATTGCCCACGCAGTCATGACACTCCTAATGCCTACTCTCACAGCAGTGGTTGGCAGTGCTGTTCTTAAAGGGCTAGAACAGCTACACAAAGATCTCAAAGCTCAGGGTCAGTGCATTACACAGATGGAAGATAGGATCTCCTCCATTGAAGATGACTCCTTTGCTGTTTCTGCGGCAGTAGCCTGACTCCTCACGATCCAAAGAGATCTTCAGGATAAGGTAGATGATCTAGAAAACTGCTCACAGAGAACAATTTACTCATCATAGGCCTGCCCAAGTTGTATTCTCCCTCCATGTTGATCACAATATGTGCTACTTCCATTCTGGGGGACCTAGGCCTGTGACACCCATGTGTGGTTGAAAGAGCCCACTGTATTGGCCCACCATCTGACTCTCACACTAAACCTAGGTTGGTGATTGTACGCTATCTGAACTACACTGGCAAACAGGCCATCCTTCAGAAATTCCAGAGCACACATGCTTTATCTGTGGATGGACACCAATTGCTACTGTTCGTGGACTACTCGATGGAGGTTATGCAACAATGTAAGGCCTTCTCTGTGATCTGCTCCACTCTCTATCACCGGCAGATTAAATTCACCCTGGCTTATCCTGTTCTTCATATCCAGCCGCTGAATGGAGAAAGGCTATCCTTCACCTCGCCGTTGGAAGCGGAGCAATACCTCAACAATATCCCTGAAGCAGCCATGGAACAAAGTCCTTCTTCTGCACCCTCTTCCTCCTTCCCCTCAAGGTGAAGTTCTGCACCCTTCTAGAATCAACTGAGTCCTCAAAAGCCAGGTTGGGCCAAAGACCACTACATTACCTGCTGACTTGTTTTATTGGAGGACATGCAATGGTTTTCCTTGTTTTTCTGTGCCTTCCCAGAGACTGTTGGAATTTGTCATATAATGGCTAATGTTTGTTTTTTTTTCTTGCATCCCCTGTGGCGATGTGCCCTGCACACCTGTCCCCTTGGATGGGCGAAGAGGGTCCTCAGGTGTTTTTGTTCCCCCTTTCGCCATTCCCCCTCTCTAATCCACCTCCATTCCCTTCCCCCCCTTCCTCCTCCCCCATATGTTGTTATTAAAGACAGTAGTGGAGTGTCGAGTGAGGGAGCTTCGCTAGATTGCTCTAAAAAGTGAAGTTTCTGATTCACCTAGGGAGCTTCTCCCCATCTGTTAGAGAAGCTCTGCTTTTATTGTTTTGCATTGTTGTCTTTCACTGTTTCGTTTCCCTAGGTAATGCATATTGTTCTAATCAACCTGGACTCATTGGGGCGATGCCTGGTGTGGTTCTGCCTTTTTGTAGTCCTTATCCAATTTTTATACTACAACAGACATGGCTCCAACTTGATGACAGGGATCACTTGAAGGCAATTTAATGGAATGTTATGGAGCTACATTCACAAGCATATGCAAGTACTACGCCATTTGAAATGTTTGGGGGGTAGATGTGGCTCTTTTGCAGGAGACACATCTCTCTGTCAGCAATCTTTCTCATCTTTTGAGACTTTGGGTGGGTCAGGTGTATGGTTCTCTGGCTGATGGCCATAAGGCGGAGGTAGCTATACTATTCCACAAAAATTTGTGTTACACTGTTCGCTCTGTTAACTCTGATTCTGAGGGTCGCAGACTCACTATCCATATTACTATTGCCTCTCATGACATTGCTATCTCCACTTTATATGCTCCCAATTCTCCAGGACAAAACTTTTACAAGGGTTTGATTTCATGGGCCTTACAAATTCCAGAATCCTGTCATATCCTGGGTGGGATCCAAAGAACAGAGGTATACCTCTCAGGCAAACAATCCAGATCAATCCACGACAGGTGGGAAGGGGGAGGGGCATGAACATGGAATGTGAGTAGGTGAGGAGAAAGAAAGCCCAGAGGTAGGAGGATGGAGCTGCCACAGCGAAGACTGCCTATACCCCACAGTGTGCCAGACCTCACGTACCTGATGGCCGGCACTAAGGGTGAGCCCGCGGAGTCACGTCCTGCTGCATCCCCTGTGAATTGGGGAGGGAGACAATCCCCCATGAGTAGATGCAGTCCCACTGACACAAGCAGGGGGGGGGAGTACAAGGTGCGGGTCTGCAGGAGGAGCAGACCGCACCAGAGCGGGGGAGATCCCTGCAGTGAGACAGGACGGAGATGCGAGGCTGAGAGAGGGCTGTGTGCTAAGGCTGTTGGAGAGATCCCAGGGGAGTATCGATCCTGGATGGATCCCAGAAGGGATTGTTAAATTCGGGAGGAAGAAGAGACAGAGAGACTGTGAGCCTGTGACCCTGAAACCCTGAGATAAGGAGAAGCAGACACCCTGAGAAACCTGTAAATTTATCTCACAGGACAGAGCAAGCTGCCGCTGAAGTCCCCCCACAAGGTAAAAGCTCTTTCAAGAAAGACCAGTATATGGATGCAGCGCTATCAAAGGAGTGATGCAGATAACCGTGAAACGTTTATGAAGTGACACTATTCCATGCTGGTAATATAAATTTTATGTATAAACAGGGGGACTAAATGAGCAATATATAAAGTGGTGAGAAGTGCTCAGGGGTCAGAAGAAGGGTAAAAGACCATAATCCCTATTAAAATCTACCAGAAACATATAGGGACTGTTTGCATGGTGGACATTATTTAAAGAGATCAGAATAAGTAATATTAAAAATAAATTCAAGCAAAATGAAAAGTAAACCGGTCAAGGGAAGTGGGGAGAAAACCACACAGTCAAATGCAAACAGGAGCACTATTAAAAAGTATATGGCCACACGGGATAAAAGCCCAGAGAAACATGGCCCCGAGAAAGGAAGAAGAAAGTCTGATGAGGAGCAAATTAGACTATCATATGAACAACGGGAAGGAAATTCAATTAATGAATCCATAAATACTGATGGTGCATATAGAACAAAGCTCCGCAGAACAGCAGAACGCTTTATCTCAAATTCCTACAAGAACAGAGATGGCGGAAATGTTCGCAAAATTGGAACTCTGTATAAAAAATTAAATTAAATGACCTAGGGCGTATATTAACTAGAGTGGAGGAAGTAGAGAAGAAGATGGACGCCCAGGCCCAGAAATTAGTGAACATGCAGCTGCAGGTAGACAAAATGAAAAAAGGACAGCAGGAACTAACATACAGATTAGAAGATCAAGAGAATAAAAATCGAAGGAATAATCTAAGGATCCAAGGTCTACCTGAGGTCTCTAAAGAAGAGGACTTAAGAGAGAAAATCAAGAGTGTATTGAGTTCGTTATTTGAAAGCCCAAGCTCTCTGAAATTAGAAAGCGTACATAGAATAAGGAGACCAATGGGAATTGTATCTGAATCTCCAAGAGATGTGATTGTACGTTTCCATCATTATACGGATATAGAGAAGATCTTGAAAAAAATGAAAAATAGACCTGAAATTAAATACGGACAGACTAGTTTGCAAATATATGCAGATGTAGCCCTAGATACTTTATCGAGGAGAAGAATGCTGAAACCTCTTTTGGATCAAATGAGAGAGAAAAAAATAAGTTATAATTGGTGATTTCCAGCATGTCTGATTGGATAGAGGCACGGAAAATTGGCTAGGCTAAGATTCCCGGAAGACATGAGAGACATTTGTGACAAATTAGAGTTGCAGATGGTAGATATTGTGGAGTGGGCAGAAAGGTCAAGGGAGAGTTTAGAACTGAGGAATGATAAATTGGCAGCACGTAAATAAAAGGAGGAAATGAGGGTGGGGGGGGAGGGCGGGAGAGGACCGAGGAAAGGTGAGGGATTTGGTGATTTTTTTTTTCTCTTGAACGAGCCTCGCTCCTTGGCCGTCTTATCACCTACCCTTCTTTATCCCGACCTCTGGGGACCTGATAGGATAAGCAAAGGTATTTCCCTAATGGGGGGAAGGGAAGTCTTGGGAAAATTTCTACGTTCAGAGTCATACCCCAAAATAGGAATCGGTAGTGAGGAGAACTCATGTCAGGTTCCAGGCCATTATGTGTAGGCCAGGGAGATTTTAGGGGAGAAATGGGGGGGGGGGGGGGAGGGGGATAGATGTCCATTAAATGATGAATAGGGGTTGGTTTATGTGGAGATCTGAGAAGGAAAAGAAAAAGGATTAATAAAGAGATATGAGTTCAATTAATATAATGACATATAACTTGAAAGGGTTAAATTCATCAACTAAAAGACACAAGGTATTGAGGGAAATACAATGCCACTCCATAGATGTAGCCTTCTTACATTAAACACATTTAACACATGACTCCAGGGT